AAAAAAAAAAAAAAAAGAAGAAGAAGAAGAAGAAGAAGAAAAAGAAAGAAAAAGAGCTGAGAGTAAATTCCAACTAGCCTCAGTCAGTTTCTAGGAGTACCAGTGGAAGTAAACCCTTAAACCGCGTCTGTAGTTTGGTAAGGCACTACGAGGGAATGATGTAAAACTAAGACTGTGACAGTTGTAATGGCTGTGCCGAGGAACACATCACAGAGAGAAGGCAGCAGCTGCACTCACACACACACACACACACACACACCTGGACAATCACATTGTTACATGCCTATGTTATATCACTTTTCTTTGTGCAATCACATTGAGGAATAGTCTATTGGTATCGTTGAAGTTCAACACAAAAGAGTAAAAAGGGGTATGACCTGTATAGTGCTACATTCTACCGGGGCTGGGGGCAGGGGGGTTGGGGGCAGCTAAAATGTCTCCTCCTATACTAAAATGGCTAGGGATTGAAAAGGAACACTTCCAAAAAAAAACAAACCAAAACAAAACAAACCTAAAATAATACAACTGAAATCCAACATACATTTTTAGAGATCTTGTTTAGGAATAGCATTTCTCAGGGATTTATCCAGTGTGTTCAAGAAGAGGAAGAAACATCCCCATTGCTTCTGCTCTCAACCAGTGCTGCATGGCCTGTTTTGCCCAGGTGTGTTTAAGTTTAGCAGTGTTAGGCCCAAATTCAGAGCACTGGGACAACGTTTTGTCCTCCACCCTCAGTGTCCCTTACCCACTTTCTTTTTCTGTTAAAAATCCCCCCAACCTATGTATATCCTGGGATACAAAAACTGCTGTATAAATCCTTTGAAATGCTGGATAAATCCCTAATCCACATACCTACAGGATTAAAAACCTAATGGATTTCATTTTAGGTGTTCTGGACAACAAATTTCTAAATATAGCTCACTATTTGGATGAAAATAACCTTTAAAAGTCTGTTGGTGAAGATCTTCAAAAGACAGGACCCACTGGAGGGTCCTTCTCCTTCTCTCTTTCTCTCTAGTTTGGTGCAGAATGGTTGGTTTTTTTGTGGTTTATTTTTTTTCTGTTCTTTTTTTCCATTTTCTTTTTTTTTAAATAAAAATTGTAGAATTGGTTTTCCCCCTTCTTTCCTCTTTTTCTTTTCTTCCTAAAGTCTCCTTCGTTCAAGTTTCACACGAGCCTCCCATTGCATTGTTAGTTTGTCATGTTCTTCAATACAAAAGTGGCTGCCTCACTCCCCCCGGGCTGGGTGCGTCTCCCGCTCTTTATTCCAGTGTTTAGATGTAAGGGTACTGGTTGACCTTGGTGGGGCTCAGTGGGTATCCAGTGTAGACTGTGGAGGCTGGAGAAGCACTGATATAGGTCTGATGGGCAAACTGAGCCTGGTACTGACTCGGGTGGATGGTGGGCGAGGGCAGGACGCGCGGGCCCATGCTGACAGGGACCTGGTGGACGATGCTGGCGGGGTAGGTGGTGTGCTGCACCGCGTGCCGGGCGGAGCCTTGCGAGGCCACCAGGTGCGCGACGGTGCCCGTGGAGCCCAGGGCGGCGGGGGCGGTGTATGTGTACAGGTGGGGCTGGGTGGGCAGGTGAGCAGCCGCAGCCGCGGCCAGGTGGGGATGAACCGTACCATGGCTGGGGCTGTTGTGCGGGAAGGAGTACGGGGCCTGAGCTATCGTTGGAGTGATGTAGGCTTGCTGTCTCCGGTGACTCCCTGTACGGTCAGTCGAGATGTGCTGCTGGCCCTGGATAAAGACAGCAACAGTGATAGGTGGTTACAAGACAAGAGATGGCTCTTTACCTCCTCAGTAGTGTCTGGGATCCTCCCGTCAACACCAGGACAACCTCAAAAAAGTCTCCTGAGATATTCCTGACACCCTCAGCATCACCAGTCTTCCCTTGGGAAATGAATGACAGCACTAGGTCCCTCACAAGCCCAGGAAAACCCTGTAGTTTCATACATTGACCCCCAGAAGGTAAGCAAGTCCCCCAGTCTGAGCTACAGCCTGCTGACACAACTACCAAAAGACACAACCTTGGACGCCCAGCTCCTAAGAACATCCTCCTCAAGTCCAGTTGCTCAGAGCAACAAGTGTTTTTTGTTGGTGAACACTCTGATGACAAATTGTGGTCTGCAGATAGCTCAGGGGAATGAGATTGCCTAACTCTGCCTGGAACAGGCAATTTATTTTTGTTCAGTTTGGATATTTGCAGTTAATGATTTCCTTGGTTAGTAAAAATAACCACATTATTTTTTAAAGAGAAAACACTCAGCTTGATTAGATCCTGCAGGTGCCTGGTGCCCTCACTGTCCTCAGCTAAAATTACTTGTGCACAGGAAACTTCTAGCAGTGGGAATGGACCAATGTACTTTTTTTTTTCCAGGGATTTTTTAAGTTGTTTTCTTGCATTGCACAAAATTGTAGGGAGTTTTCCCAGTCATTTGTAGTCAGAGTATTAAATTACCAATAAAGCAGGAATTAGAAGACAAGAAGGAAAATGCTCCACGCTATTTCCTTCTATTCTTCCAAACATTTCATCCTTTTTGTAAGCACACTCTGTGCTGTTACTGTGGAAATATAGTAGCCACATTCGTCCCCGACTCTTGCAAAGAGCATCTTGCCCACTTCCTCCATTTTAACACACTTTTATTTAAAAATTGTTCACATTTTAAAATTTCCTCTGCATATTGAAGGAGAACAGACACTCTTCTCCTTTATGTTATTTTTCTTTTTAAAAAACAGTTCTGCTAATATCCAGCTCTGGATGCAGACCCAGAACTGTCCTCTGAGCTCTCCAGACTTTCTCCTCTTGAAACACTGGTAACTGAGCTGTAACTTCCCTACTCTTCTCAACTCACCTCAGGAAGAGAGGGGCCCCAGGTGCAGGATGTGAAAAGGGCATTATTTCCTGCAGCTCCTGGGAAGCTCCCTAGGAGTTCTGATCACAGACTGGGAAACGTCTCAAGAACTGCTTGCTGCCAAGAAATGGGATTTGTCCAGATCTCAGCCCAGCTTTATCACAGGATGGATCAAACTCATTACATGAGGTCACCTATATATATAGAGGCTCTGGTTTGCCTTGTCCCACCTGATGGGGACTTCTCTCCCAGTCCCACAGCTGGGCTTATTTGCTCTTTTCACTTGGAAGATATTCTCCCCATGGTTACTTACAGCTAAGGAGAATTCAATCCTTCCTACATGCTTCTGCTCCACTCTTTTGTAGCTAAGCCACTGCATTTCCCCTCTCCCATTATTCCCACTCACACTATTAGGTCATCAAACTTCAGAACACACAGGAAGAGTACCCCCAGCCCACTCAGAGGTGTGATCTGCACTACCTCTGCTGCCTGAGCTGGAAGATCAAGGTCTGCAGTCAAATATTAACAAGTTGATCAAACTCAACATAGGGTCCAACTGTCACTAGACTGGAAGAGGACAGCCCATGTTGGAGGAGTGGTAGGTAATAGCTGGATGATGTACCACCAAAATCAGTCTTGGTTGACTTACCTGACTTAGATTTAGAGGCTGCTGCTGCTGGAAATGTGCTCCTGGTCGCTGCTGCCTATAGGCAACGGCTCCAGACGAGCTCCCTGAAGAGTGACCGCTGGTGGAGGTCACGGTGCTGGAGGACTTGGACTTGTAGGAGGATGAGTGGTGACTGGTGGTGACTGTGCCAGGAAAGGAAACACATTTGTAGCTTACATGACATTGTTTAATTGTTCACCCTACCTTTTCCTCACCGACTCTCCTCCAGAGTGGCTTTTGGGAGGAGACATAGAACAGAAGCAGGTTAAGAAAACTGTTTCTCTCAATTAACAGAATTCCTCAGAAGGGCTTGATACACATGACAGGCCTGTTATCCTAGAGAACAGACAAACAGACCTCATTAACTGGACCCAAAGCAGGTCTGGAGCAGGCTTTACAGATCCTTCAGAACCATGAGACAATGTTCTGCCAGCAGAACTGTACAACGCAGGTACAAATCCCAAGGAGAGGAAGGAAAGTATGGTGTGCACAGCTTAAAAAAGCCCTGGCTTGCCTAACGTCAGGTAGGTGGGAAGGGAGGGAGAACAAGCTCACCCTTTGAGCCTTTGTGTTCACCAGCATCCAAAGCAAGGACTGCCAAGAAGCTCAAAGCCAACAGCTTCAGGCCAGATTTCCACCATAAAGCCCTTTTCAATACATCACACTATCTAGCATTGCAGAGGTTCTGGATGAGCAAACCTCGTAAGTCCACAGTGAAGATCCTGGGAAATGTTCTTCCCAGGAACATCAGCAACTTTGGATGAAAATTCACATGTTTTCAATCTCTTACCCGTTTTAATGAAAGCCTATGGAAAGGCAAGGTAGCAAAGGTTCACACTTGCATTTGGGTGCCTTTCATATCAAGTGTCGAGCTAAAGGCTGCATTCTATTCTTGGGATTGTACAGAACTAACTGGGACTGACACTTGACCCATGACTCCTGAGTGAACCAGGACACATAAATAATGCAATATGGCTACCAAGAACAGACGTGTCACTCGAGAGAAGTGCAGGAGCACAGTTTCTTTGGAAAACAAACCAACCAAACAAACAAAATGAAACTGAACAATGAGATTCTTCCAAGATATATCATTTATTTCTTACTAATTTTCTTGACGGAAGAGGTGCAATTTACCTGGTGCCAGGCTATCGCACTCTACCAACACCTCACTGGCCTGGGTTTTCAGTGGTGGCACGATGATCGTTCGGGGGTTCCCACTGCAGTGAGTCTCTGGAACCCCTTTGGTGTCGTAGCTGTTCCCATTATTCTGCCCTGTGCGATGTTGCACGGTGTAAGGGCTGTTGTTGCTGGAGGAATCGGAGTAGGGGGAGTCATGCACGGTGACACAGCTGATGACATTCTTCCTTTGCTTGGACAAGGTGCTGCAACACAAGCAGACAAGTGGAAAGAGTGAACAGGCAATGATCGACTCAATGCCATTAGAAGGCTCTGCCCGCGGCAGAAGAACTCCGTAAGGACAAAGCACAGCCTTCAGTCCTCTGCCGGGGAGACGCTGCTTAAGCCAAATCCTGGGCTTCAAAACTCCCTCGTTACTATTCCAGGAAAGCGTTCATGGAGGTCAAGGAGTGAGTAAGACATTGTGGATAGATCTTATATTCACACTGCTTAGAATAGCACTGAACCAGACTGCCAGATTTATTTTCAGACTGCTTTTTATGTATGTGTGCAGTAGAAGCCCAGCAGTTATACTATGCTTTGTTGCAAGTCTCACCACCCACACAAAAACGTGGCAGTTTCTCCCAGCCTTTCAGCAATGATTTAATAATAGATGCTATGACTTTTCATGCTTAAATTCCATGAATCTACAAAACACACACCATTCTATTTACTAAGATGGTACAATGGGCATACATTCTCAATAAGCATTGAAAATGAGGAACAAGTGAGAAGGAAATGAATGAAGTATGCTTTTGGATTTTCTTCCCTTTCTCTGAACAGGCTCTGGGTCTCCTGACTCTAGTGTAGATTATCAAGGTCCTGCTGCAACTAATCTATCTATGACATCAAAAAAGTGATTAAAAAGGCACATCAACACTTCCAAGATTAGTGCTGGAAGTTCATTAGACTAGACTGCATGAGTGCGACTGGGATTTGCTCAGGCTATTGTGTCTAATTATTCTTCATGGTTTCTACTTCCTGTTATGAGCTTGTTTAGGGAGAAAAAGAGAGAGCAAGAAAGAGGAGGGAGGATGGGGGATGGTGAAGATTTGCTTAAATGGCTCACATCCTTGACAGAGCACAGACCTTGACTACAGAAAATAGCTGTTATGTTTCACTGATTGCATTATGTTGTTATGGCAACTGAAGTTTTTAAAATGATGAAAAGAAATGGATAGCACATAAAAAGCTAAGTAATTAGGCTTAATGGTGGAAACAGCCCCAACAGGAACAGAAATGCCATGGAGAAAAACGAATCTTAACTTCATGAGTGTGCACTTTAAACAGAGAGAGATCTCTTTCCCATGGAGCGTCCTCTCCATTTTCTCAGTCTGGCTAGTCCAGTCCAGGGAACAGCTGATTAATCTGGTCTCAGTTGGTTTGTTCCCTGGTCTCTGCTGTTTAGAGCTGTTTGTTCTCTGGTCTCAGCATTGCTTCTTGCCCAAAGGAAGGTGGAGCAGACACTGAGAACAGTTTCCTTCCAAGGACATTGTTTACCTATTTTATTTTTCACAGTCCTAAAGGAGCAGTGGTGGGTTCCCTTCAACTTGCCCATCCCAAAGTCTCTCTGTCAGCATTCTCAACTTGCAACTCAGCCCCTCTATCCCAAGACTCAAGATTGAAAATCTATTTTCTTTTCCCTTTAAAGAACATCTTGGGTTGCTGCATTCACAAACAAGTTCACATCACACAGATGTTCCCTGGGCTATCATCACAGGGTCCTGGTGTGCGCTGAGGAGGACAAAAGACCATGTTGTTCTACTCACAGTGAAAAACACATTTTGAGAGGCCCCTGCCACCCTAAAAGATTATAATTTGAAACAGGGCAGACGATAGAGAAGGAGAGGGAGCTATTGCACAGCAGTTGGGAAGAAATCCTTCCAGGGGCAGGGATGGATTAACAAGGAAAATATACAACAGCAAACTCTCATATTCTGGCTTTTCACAAGGAGCTGGAGAATGCTGGATTAGAAATGGAAAGAGCAGCAGTGCATCTTAGATGGACAATGACTGTGTGTGTAGAAAGATGTAGCAGTTTGGATATGCTGCTATGAAAGAAGAATATTAGGCCAATAAAAATGACTAATATTGCATCAATATTCCCCTCTCCATCAGTAGAAAGGCCTGTAATCACACATTTATGAGTATCCATGCTGCTTGCCCTTTGCAGCTACCCTTGGCTGCCAGTTGGGAAGAGAGATATATTCTTTATCTCTGACAGTTATTACATTTTATAAAGAAAAATCAAGTCACTAAAGAGTTTTCTGACAACTGATAAGGTCTAACTGTTCTTTTACAGTCCCTTCCTGATCTAAGTAGCTGAGCTGCTGAACTGGAAATACTTGCTCTCAGCTGACAATTGACATGAGAAGTTTGAGCTGTAGAACTGGAAGGGTAATTTTCTGTGTAATCTGTGCTATTTACTGTTTTAGTATGGGCATATTTTTCACCAGTTTGAGGACTTGTCAAAGCAGGGACCATGGGAAGTTTTCTCCTTCAAAGTGTTAAAACTCCTTGGTCACAATAAAAAAATCAAGTATAACTGTTGGATGAAATAAGTGACCCCCCAAAGCCAAACCTTTCCAGGGAAATGGACCACCTCTCATTTAATGGATGAGAATCTGAAAAGGAGCTATGGTCCTGCCAGGCCTTATGCAAGTTCTCAGCACTGCTAATATGTGTAATTTCCCAAGTCAACTGGACTATTCCTGTAACAGAGCTAAAGCCCATGGGTAAATATTTGCAGGATTAGGGTCCAAATGATCAGCCTCTCAATTCAGCAGGCTGCATCATTTCAAGCACACAAGGAGTCCCACCAAAAGCAGCTGGATTTCTCTCTCTAGGAAAGGTAACAACTGTGGTGAATGTTACTGCAGGCAGAGAAGTCCTCAGTCTGGAGTAATCACATATGCCCAGAGCTCAGCACCTGCTGTATCAGAGCCTGCCCAGAGATTAAGGGTGGGAATTTCAAAAACATCAAAGGCCCAACTCATGCTGAAAATTGCTTGATTCACAGGCATAAAGATACACTTTAATCCAAAATGGAGGCTTTTGAAAATTTAGCCCAGCAGTTAGCATTCCCTCTGCTCAAAGTCTTCTGGGTAGCCAGCAGCTTTCTCCCTTCCAGCTCCCTCTCAGCTGCTCTTCCCACTTTGCAGTAATCCAGGAGTTATCTGTGTGAGGCCCAGGCTGATGGATTGCCTTCCCTGCTCACAAACTATCAGGATTGAGAGCTTTTTACCTGTTGACACAGCACTTGCCTACTCAGCAAGCTTACTGTATTCCTATAACTCAGCCAGAGCTTTTGGGGATGTTTGTGCTTACACAGAAAAATACTATTAGAAGTCTTGCCCCCTTCCTATTAAGCACTCTCCAAGCCTGGTAATTGCTTTCCCTCCTGCATGCACAGAAGCAGCAGCAAATGTGATTCAGTAGTTTGGGGAGTTGGTCTGTGGTCCTGGGCAGTTTGTGTGCCTGCCTGCATTATGCGGGGAGGTGTTTTTTAAATCTCCAGAGGACAGAGGGGGAAAGACTGGTGAACTGGCAGCAAATCCATCCACATAGAATAAAAAGCATTGAGTCAGGTAGGCCTTTTAACCCTTACTGCCTGGGTTTGTGTCCCCCCTTTTGGAACAGCAGATAAAATAAGCATTGCTTTGTACTTTTATTATTAGTTTGTGAGTAATATCTCATTCCCACCTGGTCCTGAAGAGCTTATCCTCAAACTTGGACCCAAAACAGCTCATGTCTGTCCAATGTGCAGACACAGAGCACAACCATGCCTTTTAAGTTGAAGCAGGTCTTGGAGATGGCTCTCTAACATACACCACCCTTGTGAGTGCCCAGCAGAGATGGATGAGGGTCCCTATTTGCTCCAGCAAGGAGAAACCTGATAGAGGAAAAGGAAGGAAGACAGTCTGTGCCCAGGCACCCTGCAAGAAACTAAGGTGGTCATCTGAGATACTGTTAATGGAAAGGTGCTGAAGACAGATGTTGAGAACAAGAAGTGAGTGGAAATTAAGGAAAGGAGGATGCCGAACTTGGTGTTAAAACAATACTGAATCCACCTCAATAGCCAAAGACAAGGACAGAGACAACAACTCCCTGTAACAATGCAAATTGAGATGACTTTTACCACCTGAAGTCCCAGCTCAAAAGCTTGGTATGTGGCAGCACTGCAGGAACACGATCTTTTTTTACCTGAATAACTTGAGTTACAACAGAATCACAGAAAAACCAAATGATGTAATTCTTCATCACATGGTTCACTCCAAGAGCTACAAACCTTTCAATGCTGCTGACACTGTAGCAACAGTCTTTTAGCTCTCAAGGTCACCAGCGTTTGGGGATGAAGGCAGCCATAGCACAACTGTACCTTTGAACTGGTGTGCATATACACCAGGGCATGTTAGCTTTACCTCACATTACAAAAAACTCTGTTCTAGGTCTCTGAAAACTTAATAACATGCAACCCTTTTAGTTTGCTGCTTCAGAATAATACACCTATTCTAGGAAAGCAGGGAGTCAGCCAACAAAAACTCACACCACAACTGCAATCAGTCTCCTCAGGTTGAAATCTTATGCCATGCATGGCTCAGTGTTGGGAACGTGCCCCCTCTCTTCAGCTCAGCCTCCATCCTGACCTGTTAATCTGCTCTTACCTTTCTGAATTTGTGATGGTAAGAAATATTTATCAAGTACTACACTGAGGCCATTTTATTAGGCTATACAGCATGTGTCATTGCTATTTAAGTCATATAAACTGAATTGCTGAGCAGGTTGTAAAGGTCCTGCTGCTGAAGGTCTGCTGACAGAGCTACTGTCTATTTGTGTAATTTTAAGTATTAGCTGCATGTCAGTGTCTTCTGGAGATGGAAGGCAGCAATCTTTTAACCAAATGACTGTGGTTAGTCAGTGTATTGCTATGCAGAGTCACTGCATTACTATGCACAGCAGAACACAGCCACAACAGGCTAGATGTCAAAAGAGAATTACAAATGGTGCTTTGCCCCTCACACATGCACATCAGCAAGTTGACAAAAACACCTGGTTTGTGCCTGCCAGCAATTTCTATGTGTAAGTCTTCTGAAGTGGGCTCCACCACCACTGCACTGTGATGTGAACAAGGAGTATAAAAACTTGCTTACACTCTGTTACAGATATGAGACTGAGACAGAAACTACAACACAGAGCTTCCCATCTT